AAGAAATTTGTAAACAATTCCCAGGTTATTGTAGCTTGCTGCTACCACACCATGGTGTTCACCGTAAATCTCTTTTCTTATGATCAGAGCCTTCTCATAGTATTCTTTAGCTTTACTGTACTGGCCAAGGTCACTGTAAACAGTTCCCAGGTTGTCGTAGCTTGTTGCTACGTCACCATGGTGTTCACCGTAAATCTCTTTTCTAATGATTAGAGCCTTCTCATGGTTTTCTTTAGCTTCATTGTGCTGGCCAAGGTCACTGTAAACAATTCCCAGGTTATTGTAGCTTCCTGCTACCTTACGATGGTGTTCACCGTAAATCTCTTTTCTTATAATCAGACCCTTCTCATGGTTTTCTTTAGCTTCACTGTACTGGCCAAGGTCACTGTAAACAGTTCCCAGGTTGTCGTAGCTTGTAGCTACGTCACCATGGTGTTCACCGAAAATCTCTTTTCTTATGATCAGAGCCTTCTCATGGTTTCCTTTTGCTTCACTGTACTGGCCAAGGTCACTGTAAACAGTTCCCAGGTTGTTGTAGCTTGCAGCTACGTCGCCATGGTGTTCACCGTAAATCTCTTTTCTAATGATCAAAGCCTTCTCATGGTTTTCTTTAGCCTCTCTGTACTGGCCAAGGTCACTGTAAACAGTTCCCAGGTTGTTGTAGATTGCAGCTACGTTGCCATGGTGTTCACCGTAAATCTTTTTCATAATGATCAGAGCGTTCTCATAATTTTGTCTCGCCTCACTGTACTGGCCAAGGTCACCGTAAACAGTTCCCAGGTTATTGTAACTTTCTGCTACCTTAGCATGGTGTTCACCGAAAATCTCTTTGCTTATGATCAGAGCCTTCTCATGGTTTTCTTTAGCTTCACCGTACTGGCCAAGGTCACTGTAAACAGTTCCAAGGTTGTTGTAGCTTGCAGCTACGTCGCCATGGTGTTCAGCATAAATCTCTTTTCTAATGATCAGAGCCTTCTCATAGTATTCTTTAGCTTCACTGTACTGGCCAAGGTTTCTGTAAACATTTCCTTGTATGTTGTACGTGTTCGCTTTTAACAATTTGTCTTCTTTGAAATTGTTAAGAAAATACATAAAATTGCAGATTGACGTATTAAAAAGATATGCATCCGACGGATTACTAAGGCTATGGCAAACATCAGCGGCTAAGGAAAGCCACAAAACTAACTTTCTGGGGGTGATTGAATTCACAAACATTTTTGATTTCGTAAAATCGGTGTTAACAATTACATGCAATTCTTTACAATGACTCGTAATTAAACGTAACTTAGCAAACACATGCCTACTTGAATGCAACAGATTTCTGTTTTTTGCCATTAAAGATTGAAAGATTTCAATAACAATAGAAATGCACTGAATTCTATCTGTTGCATCAATTTTAGATGTTATAACTACCTTGAGCACTTTATGAACGATGTTGTGCATTCTTAAAAAAGGATATTTGCCGTCTTTGTCTTGCAAACAAGACAATAAGGAAGCTTTGAAAAATTTAGTTTTTATCAATTCTTCTGTTTGCCCAGTGATACGTAATTTAACAAAGTCAACAGCGACTTCCATCGGAAGAGACTCAGGTGCACAAAGAGAAAACAAATACAATACTTCTCGAAGAACGTCATTACTTTCTAAAGCTCTCATAATTGCCATTTGAATAGCAGTAGTTGTTGTTTCGGAATACGCTATGTTCTGGTTTGCAAGAAGTTTTTCTGTCGCTTCACGTTCGCCGTGGGAAAGTGCTTCCAAGTAGTCTTTCCAGTGGTAGTTCGGAGAACCACTGACCACAATGGTTTGTACATAAAAGGCAGCCGCTGCTAAAGCAAGTGGCTGATACTCAAGAAGTTCAGCGACTTTTTCAGCTTTGTTCTGATCCTGAATCTGAGATACCTGTCGTAATAGGTTCACTGCGTCATCGGGATGCATTCCATTGCTAAGAGACTCATGGTAAGTAAGTGGAGCATTGGAGGGTATTGAGCTGCTATCTTGAGTAGTTATTAGCACCTGACCATGGCCCCATTCTTCACTACCGGTCGGAGGCAGATGCCTACAGACCAATGATAGGTCAACAACATTATCTGCAATTATCAACCAGTTGGAGAAATGCTTCGTCTTTGGATAAATGGCTCGCTTCAGATACTGGATTTTTTCTCTTGGGTTCCCCTTTGTAGAAGTCTCGAGGTTGGTCAGAATGTATTCTGTTATTCCCAAATGTCTTGCCAGCCTTTAATAGGACTCTGCAAGTGAATCCAGGGTTTCTGTATTTAGGGTTGCAACAAACGTAAGACTGTCGTTCTCATGCAACCTCCTATCAAAAATATCCTGTCCCAGTTGTCGAGCTAATTGGCTTTTTCCGCAGCCTGGTATTCCTGATAGATAAATGGTGCTGATAGCTCCATTACTTTCGTTGTAAAGCTCGTCCAGTTTTTTCATGATTCTTTTGACATCACTTGATCGTTGGATGATTTTATGTGATGGCTTGAATGTCAGAGTACAGAAAGAGTCGACTTTGGAATTGATTTCCTGAGTAAGTGTTTCTACTTCTTCCTGTTTTGTCTGTAATGTGGCTTGGGTCGATTGTAATTCCGAGGTTAGATTTTTGTTTTCTTGTTCTTTGTTGGTTTTCAACTCAGCTTTAAGATTATCAGCCTGCATTTTAAGGCTGTTTACTCGAGCTGTTGGAAAGTCGGTCTGGTTTTTGATATCATCAACTTCATTTATCGGAAGCTTCAGTGAATTAAAAGCAGCTAACACTCTCGCTACATAATTATGGAATTCAGCATCAGTAAGTCCAACCTCGTTCAAGTGAGCGATATCATTTCGAACTTGTCTGAGATCGTCAACTTCTTTCCTGACTGCTGGACTAAGAGTACTGCCAATGCAATCCGAGTACAAAATAGCAAAAAAACAGGCAACTGCAATCCCACTCAGCTGTGTTTCCCCTTTGTATTGTCGCCAAAAGTCGCGCATTCTTTGTGTGACTCTTTCGTGATTCTTTGTTGTAGAAATCACGGCCATTTTGTGAAATATCTTTCCATTCCCCAAACGGAGTTGTCTTGTAAAGGAAATCCCACTCTTGTTTGAAGACTTTTCGAAGCCCTTGGGGAACTAAGTTGAAGGCGATGTAACATGCTCTAAAATAGTTTAATTGTTCCAAAGTGTACTCCATGTTTTGATTGGGATCTAGTAAAAAATGTGCGAAGAAGAACATCAGGTATCAGTAGATTATTTCAGAAAGTATTTCAAGTCAAAGATACGAGAAAAAACTCGTATCCAGCCTTTATCAACTGCCACATCTTTCTTGTGTTAATATGTCAAAGCACAGCAATAGAAAAATCAGAATAATCTAATTGAGGAATAGCTTTCCTCTTTAATGCGTCATTACCAAGACTAAAGTATACAGTTATAGTTTGTATGAAATGAACCGCAGCTCATTTCCACACGAGCGAGCACATTCCCATTTGCATCGCTTTCTTTCCAGCTGGTCGTGTTCCCTCGCAAGAGGCACTCGATATAAAGCACGTACCGCGGGGCTGCCAGTAAAAACGGCCAATCAAAACTCGATACATTATTTTTAGTAGAAAATGCTGAAAAAACCGTATTGTGATGTTTCTAAACTTAATACAGTTAGCAACCGCTAAGTGGCATTCACAAAGCCGTAGAATGTGAACGTCTGTACTGCATTCTCCAAATTTGTGACCGCAAACAGCTAACATATATAAATGTACATGTATTTTCACATGGTTAAACTGAGGTAAGTCGCTGGTTATTTCTTACTGCGCAAAACAAGATTGCCGCCGTGAAAAAGAGCATCAGAAGTAACATTATTAAAATGAAGTTGACTGAAGAGAAACGCTTTTGGAATTTTCGCTTGCGGTTGTTTCTTGCCGAGATGAGACTGTGTGTGTTGGGAATGTGAGATGAATGTGTATGTTGAACTTGTGCTAACTCACTCTTATTTCCATTTTAGTGCCATTGCGTCCTAACCGTGATATTTTGATGTTAATTCTGTATAGAAAGATTTTTTAATGCTTTCTCCCCCTTTCCTTTCATACATGCCATTTTAAAACTCGCCCCAGTCCTCGCTCAAAAATCAGAGGAAATGCATTTGGGGGCACTTTCTGCAGCTCTATCGCAAAAACGAGTGCGGTGACCCCTATTTTTTATTTCATGATTTTGATAAGAACAGTGTTTCCTTTCAGTGAGAAAAAATGGGCATAAATCTATGTTCAGGTTTTTGGCAATTTTACTAAATTGTACGGATTGAGCTTTAACGGGTCGCCATAGCGCGTGTCCAAATTAAGACTACTTTAGAGCGTAAAGTAAAAACAAGGGCATTAAAAGGCATTTTCTTGTACGTAGGTAAGTCGATAAACAATACATTTAACTCAAATTTAGCCTGTGAACAGGTCGTCTGTTTGGGGAAAAAAAATAGCGTGGAAAGGGAAGGGAAAGGGAGGGGGGAGAGAGCCCTTTTCGCTTTTCCCTCTCCCCAGTTCCCCGCTCGACCAAAGGCCTGTTCACAGGTTAACCCAAATTCTGAGCGATACCACATGCATCATCGAAAAAATATATCCTTTTTGTCTAGTTTTGGGCTACGCGCGGTTTTTGCCGAAGAGTCCTAAATTTAGGTATTTGTCAGCATTGTGACGTGAAAACGAGCACGGTGACACCCACTTCTTATAGCATTTTTATCATTTCCTTGACTTGTTACATCAGTGTGCCAAGTTTCATCTACAATCTATGTTAGATTCTTTCGCTAAGGAATCACTTTAAGTCGTATAGGGCGCACCGAATTAATAAACCCCTTTTATGCGCAGGAATCTCATTAACTTGCCCAGGAATATATTAACGCCCATGGCGTCATAGCTTCTTGTCTTTATCTCATGAATATAATGCTGCGGAATCTAATTTAGATAAGGTCGTGTGCTATTTTAAGGTGGTTTAACTGGTTTGACAGGTTTTCTAGTTACTTCAAGGTCGATAAATACCTTGTTTTTCGCTTGGGTGATTAGAAAATAAGAAACGTTTTCATTGGTTAAACATGGGAAAACAAAAGAAATACAGTCAAACCTCTCGGTACGGACACCTCTCTATTACGGACAGTTCGTTTGGTCCCAGAAATGCCAAATACGGACAACTCTGTAAAGTGGACACTTGGTTCTGTCCCTTTGATGTCCGTATTAAAGAGGTTTGACTGTATGGTGGTGATGGTGTAGGGAAAACAATAGAAATGTGGTGGTGGTGGCGGCTGTGAAGGGAAACAATCGAAATGTGGTGGTAGCGCTGGTGGTGGTGAAGGGAAAACAATAGAAATGTGGTGCTAGAGAGAGAACAATAGAAATGTAGAGGTGATGGTGGTAATGAAGGGAAAACAACAGAAATGTATTATGCGAATACAGTCAATCCTTATTAGTACGGACACCAAAGGGACAGAACCAAGTGTCCACTTTACAGAGGTGTCTGTATTATAGAGGTAGGCAGTGTATGATATTTTTGGCATTTCTGGGACCAAACGAACTGTCCGTATTACAGAGGTGTCCGTATTATAGAGGTGCCCGTACCGAGAGGTTTGACTGTAACGATGATTTTGGCCGGACATTGTCTGTTGGCAGGGCGTTATTTTGAGCCCCGCAGCACAACGTCGAAGCTTGGGTAAAGCTTTACTCTTAACCCCCCCCCCCCCCCCCCCCCC